AAGGGCATTTCTTGCCTGTAACCCTTAAATATACATATATATAAGATAAACTCTTTCGACCACTCCGACTACCTGCGCCGGATATAATTTCTGAAACAGCAATAAGACAACTAGTTACGAGGGGACAGCTTGAAGGATCTCATACTAAATTTCCTTATTATGAATGGCCTGGATTTTTGCTTTGTCCCGATGATTCTTTTACTTAGGTTAACACGCTCACTTTGCGCGGTCCATCTCTAAATTGCTGCCCCGACAGAACAAGGATCAGTGCATGTAATTTTTTCTTCAGTAGCAGAGTGTTTGTAGCGTGCAGTGCTATTCCGGAAACAGGTTGTCCGCTCCACTTTTGTGAATACATTTAAGAGCAAACTGGACATGCACTAAGCACCTCATTCACCCACCACAAGCTGATCCACAAGGAGACTATTACACATACTTCTTATACTACTCATGAATGAATGAAAAAGTTCGCGTCCCAGGTATCTGCATGGATAAGGAAGAATACGTGTCGGGCACTGGATCAATTGATGCATTGCCCTGAGCTTTAGAACTCTTACAGGAGTCCATCTTCGAAAGCTCAGGCAATAAATCAATCTATCCGGTGCACGACACGTATTCTTCCCTATCCATATACTATTCCGGCTGAGCGAGTAGCAATTTTTTATTATTATTTTGACTGATCAATACTTTGACCGCGCCGAGGGCGATTCTTAGCGACAACGGCGAAGACGTGCGCAGGATGCATTTGTGGATTAATGATAATATTCAATTTTCTCTTCATCCTCATCGGTCTTACTATTGTGGGACTCGGTATATACCTTCTCGTATCAGGTTACGTTGGTGAACCATACGGCCGACTGAGCATTCCCGCCTTCCCTTGTATTGGCATTATTATACTCGGAATTGTACCCGTTTTCCTTGCAATTTGCGGCTGTGGGGTGCCCTACGTTTCAACCGTCGCTGCCTCAGACTTTTCTTTACTTTCGTACTCTTCGTATCCGCGGCCGACATTGCAACCGGTATTGCTGGTGTTGTCTACAAAGAAAAAGTTGGCGATGGCATTATGCAGTACTTGAAGGCCGCTGTTGATGCTTACCAACCTGGCGAGGGCCAGAAGTTAACTGCTCTTGATCTGAATCAGGTTACGTTCCAATGTTGCGGTTACGAAAGTTCCACCGATTACCTGAAGAAACTGCAGAGTGTGCCCCAATCCTGCTGTGCGTACGGGAACTGCGTCTCAATCGGCGCCAACCTCCCCTCGGACCTCCCGGGTTGCAAAGAGCGTGCCATCGGTATTCAAAGTCGGACCCTCATCATCTGTGCGGTCATCATCGCCCTGGCTCTGGTCCAGCTGGTTGGTCTGGTCTTCTCCATGATTCTCTGCTGTGCTGCAAAGGACAGGCACTCCCGGACGCATTACCGGCCCGTGCAGAGTTAAAGCCATTGACTTGTGTTTACCACGCCGATCGGACAATTATTCATTTGGTGGGCAACGCATCTTACAAGCCGGCGGTTCCCGGTCTCCACAACAGTCCCCTCCTTTTTCCTCTTATGCTCGCCATAATGATCAGACTACGCTGTTTGAGCGCACAAGATGTACTCTCCCCCCCGCCCCCTTTGACCGCATCACTAAATACAGAGGTGGGGCCACATTCCCCCCTCCCATCTCCCTCATCGTGCCTTAAAACACCCCTTTCCGCCACTCCTGCACAGCGATGAACAGTGGTCTGCCATCCGTCGGCATTTTTGCTCTCCGGCAATACTCGCCTCCCATCAGGCCATCTACGCTGACCTCACTTTTGTCCTAAACGTCTGTGTGTATGAGCATGTATTTTAATGTAAGCTCTCTCTCGCTCTCTTCCATGCACACACCCACTAACCTTTTCCCTCGTACATAGCGGTGATTTTGCCGCAGGACATTTTTGATTAATTTTTCACTACTGAAATTGCCACTCGATTAATCACCATTGCTCTTTTTCCTGTGTAACCACTCTTGATATGCTTGAAGGTTTTTAATGTGATTATCGAACAATATCACCAGTGTCTTCGCCTCAGTTCTCTATCTGCTTAGTACGCCTGGTGTGTGGCTTCTCTCTCCAGGCTGTTTGACGTCTTAAAAAAGGAAGCAATGACGCTTGCAAGCGTGTAATCGACGAATTTTTTTACCTTGTATCCATATCCATGCTAGCCATCGCGTTACCAGTAGGGAGCTCAAACGCCTTGCCTATCTTTTTATAAATAAACTAATAATGAAATGATACTGCCACTAGCTAACGAACTTTGCGAACTATTGTCCGTCATATTCGAAACTCCCAGAGTAATGGAAGTGGGCATTCATTACACCGATTTATAAGGAAGGGTTACGACTTGCGTGCGAAGATTCCCGTCGCTTAAGTTTAATTTTCATCGCAAGTAAAAAATTAAGCGTATTAGCAAAAGGCATCTAATGCGATAGCTCAAAAAGCTACTGTTTGTTTTCCAACACGGCTTTCGTCCAAGACGTTCTTGCCGTAAGATTTGGACTAGGACCACCGATTTTGGTTATCTAGTAGATCTCATATCTCAATATTTTAAGAGAACATTTGCTAACATACCACACAGGCTACTTTTACAGAATATTTGAAACGCAGAAATTCGAGGAGTCGAGTTTGTTGCCTTTAAATGTCTCCCTTGTATCGACTCTAAACGGACTGTTGATGATTGTGTCAGGTTCTCATATTCCCCCCACGTTGTCGCTAGATACTGCAATCAGCAAAAAGGGTATCGTGGTCGTATCTACTGTACTCCGGCAATGATCTTCGCGACCTTTACGGTCCATTCCTTATTTCGGCCCTAGGTGTACTGACGATGTTGGAGATAAGTTCCCCTGTCTCGACTCCCCCGATGTCTATTTCTGTAGAAGTATTAGGATCGCCCCTGCAGCTATGAAGTGATTAACTTGAGGCGCCACCACTATTTGACTTCTCCTACGACGAGGAGCGTTTAAAAACCGCATCCGCTCATGTCAGCACGGCGGTCCTATTTCACGAGTATGGTTTTCTCCTATGAGGGACAGTTTTTTCTCCTCAAAACTTGCAAACTCCTTTAAACTTTTACCTCTTCAATAGGCTGACATACTATTAAAACATTTAAAACTTTGGAAGTTTGCTCATTCATTCTTAGAATTCGTGAATGAAATCTACTTCGCCGGCAATCCCATATAACTATCTATTATCATCACTACAAGTAAAAATCGGTGGAGCTAGTAACTGCTTAGCAATAGAGGGGCTTTGGATTGTAGGTCGTGAACTCGCTTAAATTCTCGGCAAATTATTCAAAGGAAGCCAAGTCTGTGGCATCAGTCCTGTACCTCGTCAAACAGGCTTTCTCGGGCCTTTGATAAAGGCTACGCTGCTTAAGTTTTTGAAATCTTTGCGTGGCCACAACTGGCATTTTATAACCAAGCTTTGAGGCAATGGAACAAAAAAGACATTAACATCCTCGAAAAATTTCAAAGGGATGCAACCAAACATGTGACCTGACAGGGCTAATTACCCTTTGAAACACGCGTATTTGGAGTTTATATTTGTTAGCGCCAGGAAGGCACTATCTATACAAAGGGAGTTTCGTAAAAAAATATGATCATGTGAGCAGATAAAATGTACAAATTTTTAATAATGTCAGCAGAAATTGTCCTTTAAAGGCAATATTTGGCGATGTTTTGCAAGTAATGGTGAACTAGAAAATAAGCAGTTCAAAAACTAAATTTCCTTTTAGTTACAGAGATCTATGAGGTGAGCCGATACAGGCATTTCGTATCATACACGGTCAGGGCTGCTGCCCTTCGCCTGATAACTTTTAAGATTTTTCAAGAAATACGAACTTTGGAGGTCATCCATTTAAACTACGCGTGGCTGAGGCCAAGCTAGACACAGCAGACGTTCCGCGCCCGTGCTCTGACTATCGCCTAACCTTCGCCAGGAGAACAATTTACGTGAAGACCATGAGATGGTCACAATATGGAGTATTGAATCAGCAATAAGCTGGTTCTCCGAGCACGGTCGTACTCACAACGTCGTCCCACCCCAATACTTCGACCATCGCTTAGCCTACGCTAGGACAGCATATTACGCACAGAGCATGGGATAGTCTCGATATGGATTATCGCTCTGCCCACACCGCGTAGCAGCGTGGCGTGAGAATCAGGCAACAGCACTTGACTCAAAGTCCGCGTGTTAGTCGCTGAACGCACAACACACGATGGGCTGACGGGTCTGGTAAACGTCAGTTGGTAGTGCTAAAAGGCAATAAGCAATATAATACCATCTGACTTATCACATGCAATCCACCGTCCCTATTCCAAACTACTGTGCAGCAGCGGTGGACCTCACTGAACTTATAATTCAAAAGTTCAGTATGCATAAGGGAGATAGGCAGAGCCTTTGAAAACCCTATTTGCAGACAGATGCTGTTAGATCATGCATGCGTTTCAAAGCCGTATATAAATACATAATGTAAATCGTTGTTGTCTACCAAATGTATGACCAGCAGATAAAGTAAGATCGAGTCTTCTTTTAAATGCGTCAACCCTTTCAGCAAGAACAACTGACGACGGAAGTTTAATCCAGTCTTCAATGACCCAGTGGGAGAAGAAATTGGCCCGCACTTCTAGTTTGGCAGGGTTTTTCTTCAGTTTGTATGGATGACCTCGGAGATGTTTTTGTACACCATGATCATATCTCCTCTGTATTGTCTATAACAGAGGGGAAAATGATTGAACCCATCTAGTCGACCTTCATATGGCAGACCTCCTCAGTTGTTCACTAGTTTGGTCGCCCTTCCTTGGACTTCCTCCAGTACTGCGTGATCTTTCTTCATCCAGGGGCACCACGCCTGGACACAATACTCTAACATAGACCGAACAAATGTTCCGAAGACACACCCAAAAAGCTCCTCAGCAAATCGAGGATGGACCTTCTGATCGCTCCT